ACTCGAATCCTTTGCTAGAAAGCCGGATCTGTAAGACGACAGAACGAAGCTCAGAGTTCAAGGTTCATTGGGAGCCGGTGTCCAGTTCATTGGATCATACGATTTTTGAACGGAGTCAAACGTCCAAGGTGCCCAATACATCTTGATGCCCAATTAAGCCGGTGACCATTGCCACAACCGGGAAGATGTGTGTGGTTTGTACGCCTCTTCTCGGTTGGTTTGGAATCAGGGCTTTTAGCCAACTCCCCTAGGTGAACTGACAATGGTTCACCAAGCCGGTTCTAGCCCCGGGTGTTGACCTTTCGTCCTCTTACTTTGGTGAGAAAACACCTCCGCCACGGGGAGGTAGTGAGTACGGCTTCCTCAGAAGAGGCTAACTGAACTCTGGAGCCTCATTGCGCACAAACGACTATTGATGGGTATCCAGTCTATCTGTGAGGTTTAAGGTTTGTCGTTTGGCACAGTTACCACTCCAAGCTAACCCATTTAGTAAGTTCAGTCGTCTTCTAATGCACGAAAGAAATTTCATAGATGAGATGCTACCTGTGGAAGCGGTCCGGTCTATAATATCCCGTGATTCGTGACAACCCGGCAGATATCGGGAAAAGCAACCAATTAATACAAGGAAAATTTATTGTTCCCTTAAAAGTGATGGAAAGTTTGTCTGACTACGTTCGAGAGTATCTGAAATCGAAGGACTTAGTCAGAAAAGGTGTAGCACTGAACTCATGTACTTCTCAAAGTGGAGTTTTCTCCACCGGAAGTGGTACTCACTGAAACAAAAATGGAAAACCTAGCTGAAGAAGCAGCATCAGGATATTGACGTCTCTGGCAAGATCCATGCTAGAAAGGAGAAGAAAGCATGAGCGAATGCTCCAAACAACCAATGCGTGTAATCATGCAAAAGCATACATGCGGGACACACAGACCGTAAATGGTGACAACTCTCGAGTGTGTTACGCTGTCGGTCTGAAGCCATTAGAAAAAATACTCTTATGAACTATTATTCATGCAATTTGTGTTGCAGTTTTGGTTTCTGTCTTTTGGCTGCCTATTGGGGTAAATATATAAAAGCCATACTGAAAAGATAAAAACAATGTCGCAGAGAAATTCGAGAATTCCGGTCGAGTGAGGTTTCAAATAAATTGAGAAGACTTGCAAGCACCACTGTTAACGATACTTAGTCATATTACTCAGTGTTTGTAACCATTGATTACAATGATCCCGAGGTCCGCGTCCAGTAAGCCTAGCAGGATCGATATGTCTAAGTGTCCTGGTTAAGGTTTCCATGCGCTCACGCCAGGTTTGAGTTTGACTATCCTCGGTTTTTCGACCCACTACCTGCCCAGCAAACATCGCGCGCTGTGGCAACCTATTTGGTGAAATGCGTAACATGCCCACTTGTTTTAATACCTAACCTTAGCATTGCTTGTCCGATTTCCCCACCAGACTCGTGTAATGCTCCGTAGGCAGCGATGTTTAAGCACCGACATTCTACATTCATCCTATTTTATTATTGGCCAAGTTGCTGTGCCGTGTGACAGCAGATATCAGTTTCAAAAGAGTTCATTGTATGCGCAAGACACATTTGTTAACCCAATTGCATCAGATTCTGCACGTTGGAAATCGGGCTTTATGATCTGCAATTTATCTGGCGGTAAATTATTTGCGGTGCTACTTGGCAATGAGCTTTGACGACAGGAAAATAAGTTGTCTGATGAAATGTTAGGGTTTAGAATGAGGGGGGGGGCAATATCGGGTTGGGTATAGAAGACAAACAGCTAGACAAAGGTGAGAATCTCGGAGAAGTAGCCCACTTATCATTACCCACCCGCTCCATTCGATGCGATGTACAGAGCGGTCCTAAGTATTCTGCTCCACGACCACCAATGCAGCATGAAATTATTCTAAGTTCGTGTTTTGATTGGAGCTTGATGAATAGGGTATCCAATCACTGAGCAGAAGAACTATTTGTATTCTCAACCGAAGCCTTTGATCCTGGCAGGAACAACCTAACTAACTATAAGGCAGCGGTTAAGACAAAGCGGAAGCCCGTCTGCTTGGATTAATTAAAACATGTTTCACCGAATGAGATGATAACTTAGGTCGAACACACAACCAAAAGACCCGAAGGAGATTGGACTTTGTCTGACATCTACTTTTTGACCTTCCAGGTATGATTAATTCTTCGACTTCGACAAAATATATCCTGTATAGCTCGTTGGATCATAGAGCTGCACAAGACACCATATCAGGCCAAGGTGAAGTCTCATCGTGGTGGATCCGGATAAAAATGTGTGTGTTAGTGTATGAATACATATGTATGCATAAAATACCAATCTTTATAGATATGATATTAAACAAACGATACGTCTACCAGTATTACACATGCATAAATAAACGTATAAAGAGAGGGATAACAATTGTTTCTTATGCATTGCTTGGCATTTTCACTGTTTTTGTCTTTTTACTTTTGGGTATGTTACACAGTGAAAGATGTATAAACGCCACTGTTTCTTTTTATATTTTAAGCCACATTCCGCAATGTGTCCAGCCAACGACAATGTGAATCTTTGGGGCTCCAGCCGGGCAACCTGGAACCCCTGCGGAAACAAGATCCGCACAGAATCCCTTGAA